AATATTGTGTGTGTGTATCAAGGTTTTAATATTCATTCTTAGGATCAGTATCACAAACCATCAAAAGTACAGTATGCCTTTACTAATTATTTAATGCTTTTGTTGTGCTCTCTCTCTCTCTCTCTCTCTCTCTCTCTCTCTTTCCTTGCTCTACTTACCTGCCACTGACCAGGTGAGAGAAGCTGGTGGGTTGGAGACGCTGGTGGTGCAGGTAAGGTCGAGAGTCTTGCCCTCCTCAACCTGTGAGGGACCTGTGATGGCCACCAGCCGGGGCGCGTCTGTCAAGACATAATGAGTAAAATACACAAGACATTAATGCGGACAATTAAGTTCTGATATGTCATTGAAAACAATTTATATATTTATATATATATATATATATATATATATATATATATATATATATATATATATATATATATATATATATATATATATATATTAATGACAAGCAATAATATAAATTACAGTAATGGGTGAGAGAATACATTAGGGCACCAATAAATGCTCACACCTTCATATTTTATATTTATAAAAGGTTCACTGACGCAGGTGTCATGATTTATATATTTTTTCACATTGTAAAATTTTGCATACTAAATAGAACAAGAAAATGTCGTCACTTAGGAAAAAAGAAATTCGTCATGATGACAATATATTTTCTATACAAAAAGTTTACTAAATAAAAGTATATTTAGTTTTAGTTTTTCTGAAACGAATTCTAAGTTATTTAAGCTTTGTGCTAGCAAGGTCACCTAACAGTAATAATAATATGCTGACTAAATCGACCTGTGTGTTGTGTAAGCACCAAGTGAGAGGTGCTTATAACCCTGGCAGGTACAGTGTATCGCCTTTCACTTTGTAAATAACAACAGGACAATCCAGCTGATGTTTGGGACGCCTTGAGCATGTTATGTAATACCTGGATAATAACTATCTCATAAGTTCGAAAGTACAATTGCTTAAGTAGACTTAATACTACTACTACGATGATTAAACTATTCAATACAGTTAACAGGTTGAGCACCTCATCAGTTAGGTATTTAACTCAAGTATCATAACAGCCATTATAATAAACGATATATTATGTGTGATGAATTAATTGGCTGCGTATGATAACTATCCCTTGGTTGTGATGGAGTAACTGGTCAGATTTCCTTTGATTTCTTTCCTCCTGTTATAAGCGCCAGTGAGCTATGTGATACTGTATAACTCTCAATCAGTATCACAGACAATGTTAGATTTATACTGTGGGACCAATAGATGGAACAACTGACCTCTGAATAATATTTTGACTGGCTTCAACAACACCATCAATTATTAGTGTTGGTGCCTAAAGGGAGAACACTTTGAAGATGGAAAAAAAAATTAAGGGCTCTCCTCTGTCCGGTTCGTTCGCCAGGTCACCTCATGCAAATTTCAAACGTGTTATTCCAGCTGGTCCTTTTGGAGACGCTAGAGGAGGTGATCTGAGTCGAGAGGGCGGCAGTCAGGCTACACTATAGGCTTGACAGTCCCAATGAGGAGTAAGTATAGGAAGTTTCAGTCAGGCTATAAGAGGTACTGGTGACATTCCTGGTGAAATACTCTCTATCGACACCACCACAACAACGTCATTTGGTGAAGTGGTATACATAAATCAACCAAACCTAACTTAATGTTCCAAGGTTGGTTTGGTTTGGTTAGGTTAATTCTTGCTTTCTGCTTCTGTTAAGGATTTTGAAAGTCATTTTTCCTCGTTCCTCCTCCAAGTATACAGTTCACTCACTAGAATAAACTTAAAAATGAAAATCCCTTCAAAGAATTCAATGAAGTAGAGCTAAGTGAACACCCACTCACATTCGTGTTCTATAAAACTTTCCATTGTGTATTTAATTCTAGTCATATTTTTTTTTATATAAAGCATTACCTAATTTTCAGTGGTTCCCGTGAAATTACTTCAATCAATAAATATAAAATTTAAGTTCTTCACAGATACGGTTAATATGAACTGTATAGGCCTACGTATATAATGACAACTGAAGATAACTGTTGCTGGTGTACGAATAAAATCATACAAAAAATTTCACCATAGTATATAACATGTTTTTAGGGTGTTGGGTAATTTTTGGGGGTTACTTATTTATAATTGTATCCCCGTAGATGTTTTTAAGACCAGACGCCATTCTCTATTGGGGGGGAGGGGGGAAACTATAATGGCTGAGGTTATTAACATAATGGTGATCACAATGTTAAGCCACAGTCTGTCCTAAGTGTGAGTATTATAAAGGAGTAATAATCAAGATCTGGGTTAATTAATATCTGACTGAAGACTGTAAGAGAACAATGAATAATGGTGAGCGGTGTGATGACTGATTACAGCTATGTTTTGAAGTGTATTCACCACTCAAATGATTGAATAATTTATACTATACCAAAGACATATTTATATTTATCATTCGTAACATTGTCCTGGTTGATAATGTTGTAATTAACAAAAACCTTATCATGTTGTTATGAATATTTTGTGAAAGATATTATAGTTTGTGTTTGTAATGCATTTTTGTAAAGTTTGTACGGTAATTAATCAAGGAAATGATACTATCTGGAATCAGAATACCATGATTGTGTGAGCTATCCGACACGTTAGCTTCAGGTCGGTCAGCGTTACAGTACTTCCTCCCGTGCTGAATATAAATACGAAATGTGACGTCACTTATGTAAACACAACACCCCCATTGATGATGATGATGATGATGATGAGGATGACTGATTGATTGATTGATTGATGATGATGATGATGATGATGATGAATAACGATGGATAAAAACAAGGCCCCATCCATATATACCCAGAGAATTACACTCCCAGTGGAAATTAATATTCTGTGACGGAAATATCATAGGTGATTTGATTCAGGTGTTGTATTATGTGATATGCAATGATCCCCTTTGACCGAAGTGAAAAGAAAACAAACGTGCAATATGATTACATAAAAAACATCTAATACCTTCATACACCACGTGATAGAGTGAGGGGGGGCAGACTGTTCACCTGTACAGTTCCTGGTGTCAGAGTGATGGTATATTAAATGGAACATGACTACCTGTGATGTGTCTCCCATACTTGACTGTATCAATAAATGCCGCTAATTATAACCTGTTTATCCTATCCTCGACCCAAGGACCAGAAAGCGAGTACTGTATACACTCGACCGCCATGTTCATTGATTTAACTAACCTAACCTTAATCTATCATATATATGCTCTTAGCACCCCCCCCCCCACACACACACACAGTTAGTTACCTTGACTTAACCCCACGAATTAGCCTTAAAACCAAAAAGATAAAACGTTTTATTTTATTTTTCACTGTATTATCACAATTAAATTAACGCATTAAACCCTTTGGAAATACATTTGATTTAAAATTTTACTTTTTAAATTTTCTAAATGATTAATTTATAAAATCATTGCTATTAATATTACTCCTGTCATTATTATTGCTAGTTATATGTACATACATTTATGTGGCTATCTCATCATTACATTATATATCATATATCTAAGTGGCTATGTTGTCATATATTAAAATGAATGTCATTATACACGTAAGTGACTAAATTACCATATTATTCAAGTGACTACATCATACATTTAAGTGACTACATCACCATACATTTAAGTGGTCATGCCATCATATAATCAATAGGTAATATCCTACACTTCGATTATTATACGCTGAAATAGTGATCTCATAATACCTCCCAAGCGATTAATTAGTCCTGGTCGAACGAAATTAATTACAATGTTAATTATCTTCTAAATAACACAAATATCCCCCCTTATTGCTGTATAGAAATTAAATAATGTGATGTTTTACTCCATAGAGACAGTCGTTACTGCTGTGAGTGTTATCTTGGACACGGGGTAGACCAAACTCTGGCTCTGATGTTGAGATGCAGATTTTTGCAAAGAAAGGAAAGGTCTAGCTGCACCAATAACAGCAATTTGTGTGAGAGAAGATAACTTTCCACTCTGCCCTATACCCGGTGGTCGCCAGATGTGACTACCAGGCTGTAAGAAATAATCACCCCATGAAGTGCCTAAAATGTAATGTGTATTTGTGCCTAAACAATAATTCTATTTGTCTTTACACTTTTTAGTTTACTTGGTATTATAGAGAGTAACTTAGATAAACTCATTATTTTTTACTTAAACAGACCTATAAAGGGAATCCTGGATTTTTTTTATTTTTTTCCAGTTGTGGTTAATGGAAAGTTTTGATATATTTTGCACAAACGCATTTTATAACCATTTTCAATCTATTTTATTATGTGTATCCCGGCCGACCCAACTCCCTCCACTTAACACTTCCCCCAAGATACACAAGCAGAGCGGCTGTCGGTGATAAGTCGAACGACACTTAGTAATGTCCAAGTTTTATAGAAATGAATCAATGTAGACTGTGGGAGACGTGCCTTGCCCCTGTCACAGATATTCCCCACTTGTTAACAGACGATACCAAGCCATTTTGAGACTGACGTAAAATGTTTTTAATTGCTGTATTATATTTCTAGTTAACATTCTCAAAAAAATAAAAATAAAATCCTCGGTCTAATTGGAATATTAATCTAATTCAAGTAGCAGTTCTCAAGCGAACGTAGGAACCCACTGTGCTTAAAGAGATGCAAAACACCATGAATAAGTAATATATTATGAACCGAACACTTAACCTCGCCGTGTTAAGCTTCGTTACATTACAGGGACCAGATTGTGAATCCTTGCATCACCTTAGATACATTTGATGGCTGGTGTAAATATCTCACAATTCTCTTTCCTCAACATCGTAAACAGGTCAAATAAAGCATGAGCACTAAGACCCGGGCCGTGTACCTGTGTTGAACTCGAACGTATCAGGCAGCTGGAGTTGACGTCCTGTGTGTGTGTGTGTGTGTGTATGTGTGTGTATGAAAGTATGTATGTATGTATGTATGTATGTATGTATGTATGTATGTATGTATGTATGTATGTATGTATGTATGTTGCACTGTTTCTGAGAGTATTTTGGAAGTCGTTCCCGTTACAATGCATTACTGCACTTCAATAACTACGGTATTGAAGCGAGTTAAGAATTATGATAAACATATTGAAGAGTTTTCTTTTTGAGAGTTAAATACACATTATTTCTCTTAGACTTTACTTACCAGGTGTGTGATTCTACTCTCTAACTCTACGTACAGTATTTAGATTTTACCAGGTGTGTGACTCTACTCTCTAACTCTACGTACAATACTTACTTTACTTACCAGGTGTGACTCTACTCTAACTCTACGTGCAGTACCTCGGGTGATGTCACTGTCTCTCTTTGTTAATTTATGTTTTATGTGACTATTTATGTTGAAGTTCACATGAGTTTCGAATAAGAAAACAAAAAAGATGGTAATATAATCAGAATATATGAGACACGCGCCAGAAAAATTAAAATGTACCCCAACACGGGTCGCTAATTTCCTACATACTTCCACTTGTTTTGCTTGATTCCTTCTCGTCCAGGCTGCTGCACACAATCCATTACCCAATTATCGGTAAAAAAAAAAGCATCATGGTTCACCAACTAAGCCGCATTGTAAAGTTTTGTCGGGGGGAAAACCATTTGAGATTATGCATACGGGACATTCTGGTGAACAAAAGCACAGGTTCGCAAATGGACTCGGGAGAAGTGAAGGACCTGGCACCTTTGGGCTCTGAGATTGGCAAGTAAGTTCATTACGTGGACGAGGCAGGGAAGAGTCGGGAGTTTTCACGAGAGGAGAGATTAGCATATTGGCTATTTTTGGTGAGAGACTCGTCCAAGATTTCCCCAAAAATATTCTCTGGGCAAACTTTGAGCTAAGAGCCATTACTTTATACTGCTAATGCATCTAAGCCAAGCTGCCTTATTATATAATGCTTATAGTGATATACATTCTGAGGGAGATGGTGATATATATATATTTATATATATATATATATATATATATATATATATATATATATATATATATATATATATATATATATATATATATATATATATATATATATATATATATATATATATATATATTGACAGGTGAAGTTATCCCATTAAAAACATATTGCTCTCATTAAGCAGAAACATCTATGACTAGACAAGGCAGAGAGCCTCAGAAGAATTTGTCTGACTTTGTAGTAAGTGTGGACAACCCTTAAGTGAACAAGTAGTACACGTGAAGCATTCATCGCTCACTATTACGTATCGCTATAAAATTCGGATGAAAGTAAACATTTTGCATCAATCTATCATCAGTTTAAAAATGCGACAAGTTTTATAAGGTTAACTGTTTTAGTAATAGTTAATGTGTGTGCGGAATTCACCTTTTTTCGGGCGAATTCAAATAGAAACCTGACCTATATTGAAATATTTTAGATATGAATAAACTACCCGGAAAAAAAATATTTATATTTTGAAAATTATTGAATGTATTGGTTAGGGGGCGTGGGAAAGCCTCTAGAGTATTAGATCACAGAGTTTTAGTTTATTATTTCCAGCTGGAATTATGAAACATCATTTATAGAGTATATAAGTATTTACTTCTTCTAAAGGTTTATACTGATACTTATGAGACTCAAGAGCCAAGGTACTTATGGCCATTAAACAGTTATATACTTTTGTGGTTATTGAAGGAAATTGAATTGCCAGTATCAAATATTTAAGCCTTATTGGTGCTGAATTGATATGAATTTCTGTCTTGCCAAATCATTTTAGAAGCGGAACTTTAAAAGAGAAAAATCCAGCTACGAGTTTCAGAGTCACACAAGTCAGTTTTGGTAATGGATTCCGGGTCAAGTTAAAGTAACAACTGAGAGTAAAATGACGATGAATTTTATGACCATATTTATGAGAATTATTTCGGAATATTTAGATCTTGGCATGACAGTATTGCTTCTAATATATGTCAAGCTTTATAAATCACTACAGATTAGTTCTATAAGATTTTTAATAATTATTCTCTTTGTGTTAGTCACCATTATACCTTAATTCTTTGGTGTACGTATATAGTGTATCAGCAGTATACCTCATGTCTATATTGTTTTATACTATGATAATAAAAAAATACACCTCAAGTCAACAGTGTGTATACAGTGTCAGACAGCAATACACCTTGACCCCTCAGTATATCACTACAACTCACTCCTTCACACTTACAGTAGACGGTGAGGGTGACGTTGGACGTGAGGGGATTCTTGAGCAAGTCGTTGGTGACACTACACTCATACACGGCGCCGTCCTCCTCCGCCGTCACCACTACCTCGAAGGCGTTGTGAACTCCTGCAGTATCGAGGGCCGTTGTGTCGTCTAGAAGGCGCCCCTCGCGATACCAGAGAACCCAAGGACGTGGGTTACCTCCAGACACGCTACACGAGAGGTTACGTCGCTCCCCTGCCAATAAGATCTCACCAGTGTTGTAGCCGTGAATGGTTGGCTGCCCTGGCGGATCTGTGGGGGTGAGAGAGACAAAGATGTATCTACTGAGAGAAAAACAATTGGAGAAATCAATAATAAAGAAGAAGAGTGTACACAGACATAGACATCCCCGTATGTGTAAAGTGGTAAACTATTATCACAAGAAGTAAACAACAATGGTGGGTTTCCTTTACCCCATTTCCTGTGAGCTTTTTATTGTTTTGTGGAGAGTGACGAAAGCAGAAAGTATTTGTAACTCTTTTCAACTCGTAAATCTCTTCCCAAACAACCCCATTCCCTGAGCCCAAACAATCCTTCTTTCTTCACCGACTCTGACCTTGGCTGCTGCTCCTGGTATTACATATTTTCACTCTACATCAGGCCAACATTTTTCATTTCTTCTGATAAGTCGTGTGGACGTGTAACAACTAATAGCAATTCTTATAAATAAAAATCTCGCTATGAAAATTGAAATGCATTGAAGTGCAGAGAGTGATTGTTACTTTCCATTGGCGAGTGATATATAAACAATTACACATATATAAAGGTGCCGCGGCTGAGTATGAACAACGGGTCATATCGTAAGCATGGCAGCCTAGACACCTGTCCAGTTCTAAAGTAAAAATGAGTATCTAACTTTATGGAAAATAAAATTAGAAGTGATCGAGTGTAGTAACGCCACTCTGCTTCCTTGTGTACCAAGAAAATCTTAAGTCTACCTTGTACTGTATTCCCACTATCCCCAACAGACATGAACGCTGAGTTACCTGGTGGACTAATGACAGGTAAAGAAAGTTAGAAAAATCAACAAGTTAACTTATAGCCGTGGCGAGGGTTACTGTATGTTTAGTTGACCCCATCCCAGTGTATAAGAAAGAAACCTAGTCGTTTAGCAGTTGAATTTCAGTTGGTATAATCTATTGAGAATGTGATTTGGAGTGAGCAAAATGTATTGGGGGAGAAATGTAGTTGTGAGGAAAGAAAATTTCCTTGTACATAAAAGTGAGTGTTGGTTATGGGAGGTAAAGGCTGTGAGTTACCGAGTGTCTGTAAGTTGAGTAAGATGTGTGTCACTTTTTGCTGTAACTAATTTCCGGTTAACAAAGTTGTACTCTAAATGTCGCGATAATAACGATCTTCAAACTTCAACAACTTGTCTTTGAAATAGTAAATTACGTTGTCTCAACATTCAAAACAAACTTAGGTATACGAAGATTTACGGGGAATAGCCCACCCTGGCACAGGTCATCGGCCCACAACGAGGCCTGGGGGCGAAAAAATAAAGAGTAAAAATAAATTAAAAATAGATAAGTAAAAGACTACAGTATATTAATCTACACCACGAAGATGCCGGAAAACCATCTTTTTGAAGTGAGACAGATTGTAAGAGTATGGAAACACAGAAGAAGGCAGAGCATTCCACAGTTTGGCTGTGTGAGGAAAGAAGGATGTACTATAACGGGTTATACTAGTGTGACCGACATCCACACAAAAACAATGGGCACCGTGGGCAAGACGAGTGTTACGAGCCCACGGCCTTGCCGGCGGTACACAGGATGCCAAATTCACCGAACATTGCCCGTTAAAGTACCTGTGAAAGAGAGAGAGTGAAGCAACATTGCTGCGAAGAAAAAGGTAAGATAGATTATCAACTAAAGGAGGAGAGTTGATAAGACAAAATGCCTTTGATTCCACCCAATCTAACAGTTAAAGAGCCACCCCAGATATGAGAGCAGTACTTCAAGTGTTTAAGTAATCAGTTTAGCTACACGTGTGTGTGTGTGCGTGTGTGTGTGTGTGTGTGTTTTATGCTAAATAGGGATAATCGCCGATTAAGCGTTAAAAACCAACAGTAGTTTTTGTCAAATAAGGATAACATTACTTTTTCATTGCTACAACTTAATGGAAATTATTCTGTATATGGTAGAATTTGCTCTACTTCATTTAAGACGTCGACAACCATTATACAAGAGACGGACGACAACTAATGTTGGTTATGTAGTGACTGCTCCCTGTTACTACGTGGAGGATCATGGCTCGATTCCTGACTATATTGTGAGGTATTGTCTGTATATTGAGGTCCGCGTGCATTTGGATAAACACATACATAGACACAGATAGAGAGGAATAAATGGTATGTCTGTTACAGCGGCGTAAAATATAAGCTTGGTGAGGTGATAAACACACGATTCTCAGTGTGTTGTGACTACCAACCTAGACTGACCGTCATCCAAACACACCTCACGCTGGGTCCATTGTTTACCTTCACAATACCCGTCTAAAGATATTGGGTGAAGAGTTCCAGAAATGCTGACATTCCTTATCCTCCCGCTGACACCCTGACACCACATTGATCTCCCTGACACCACAATGACCTCACTAACACTACGGTGACCTTCCACACATCTTCGTAATCTCCCTGACACCACTACCTATGAAAACTGCCTCCTGACATTCCTTCGCTTTCGTTAAATATTTGTGTACAAGTCTACATTGATGACGTTTCAGTAACACAAGAAAGAAAGTAATGAAACAAGATGCATCTAATTTGCTATTAATGTAAAATATCCTAACTTGCCCACCTGGAAGTGATGGTGATATATCTACTGTATTGTATACCTACGGAAGCTCCCTATGACATATGTGACCAAGGAATCTTTTTTATCAGTCAGTTGAAACAATAAATTAAGATTAACGAATCGATTCTCATAAAATTGCGGAGTGCATATAGTTTCTTTCTCTCGATTTTTTCTTATAATGAAGTACAGGAATAATTATCACATCATTGTTTTGCTTATTATTGAGTTAACAGGTAAGAGAACACTATCCTAGCTCAGTATTTCTTAATATAACTGTTTGTAACGTAACTATAACTTGGTAAAACACAACGCTGGAGATATTGACCAACAAACACACATGCTGTACACAGAGAGAATAACAAAAGCAAAACTGAAAAAAAAAAAATGTCTGCGTTTGACATTTTTGTGCACATCTCTGTAGAGCTTTGAGAGGCTAAGTCGGGGATTTTCTACAAACGATTAACTTTGCTTTGTTTACAAGAGAGAAAACACGTAGGAATGAAACCCAGAGCGTGGACACCCTCACACGTATCCGCGGCAGCTGTTGTACATAACATTTCGAAGTAGAGTTATTTGTCAAGTTACCATAAGAGTTCTGTCATTTCTAAACAGCGAAGAAAATTACTTTGAATTATATTGGACAATTTATCACCAAGAAAAAAATGTAAGTGTTTTTTTTTTTTTTTTTAATTAACCAGAAACAGTGGCTGGGTGGTAGTGGTAATTAAAGTTTGGTTGTCCAGACTGTGGGATCGATACAGGTGTAACAATAACCTGAGCAGTTGACAAAGACAATTAGTGACGACGATGATACAGTTAAATGAATACTTGCATGACAGTTGATGTACAAGAGTCAAACACTAAAGCTGTAATAAATAAATAAATAAATAAAACACAGATCATCATCATTCACACAAAAAAAAATGTTGTACAGAGGAGCAGCGACCTGACATGCCTCGGGGTTATGTCTGACAGAATCAAATGAAAACCTTTTTTTTTTTCTTATATCAAAGTTCTTAACGAGACACATTTCAGTAACTTATAGCGAAATTCATTGTGTAGTGCAGGCGAGTTATAGAGTTCTTCAGACATAGTTAAAGAAAATACTAATGGTGAGAGAACATTTAATAGCCGGTAATGTTGATGTGTGTATATGACTGACTCAAGAGCTCTCCCGAGGCTCCTTCCTAATGCAGTTCATAAATAAGGGTGTTTGTGTTAGTGTTAGTGTTAGTGTTAGTGTTAGTGTTAGTGTTAGTGTTAGTGTTAGTGTTAGTCTTAGTCTTAGTGTTAGTGTTAGTGTTAGTGTTAGTCTTAGTGTTAGTGTTAGTGTTAGTATTAGTGTTAGTGTTAGTGTTAGTATTAGTGTTAGTGTTAGTGTTAGTGTTCCATCTTCAAGTAAACAACATCAAAATCACTTGTTAATCTAAACACACTCAGCACATTACACACACTACGACGGACATAAAACAACATAGAATTACTGAAACACGACCACCACGCCACCACCTACAGTACCTTCCACCTAGGTAGGACTCCTCACAAACTTATAATCATAGAGTAAGTTATACGGATGGAAAATTAATCTAAACCATGGGACTCATCAGCAGTGAGAGAGAGAGAGAGTAGCAGAAAAAGTCTTAATCTTCCTCCTTTCTAGCAATTAGATAACTTCCATCGGGAGGGCGAACGAACGTCTTGGCCGAATTTGTTATGTGTATGTGTGAGAGAGAGAGAGAGAGGGGGACTGGTAAGACGGTGGTTGGGGGAGGGGAGGGGGGAGGCCTCGTAAAGACTTGTGGGAGCCGTAGGATTAAAGGACTTTCACAACTCGAAGGGACTGTGAGCCTCATAATGCCAGGAGAGTTTTAAGTCTCGTTTGTCTAGTACAGCTTCTCGATACCCCTGGAGGCTTCAGTGCTTGTAAACGTCAGAATAACTCGTTTGGCTGTAGACGTGTGAGGCGGTGTGATTCGTATACAATTATCCCTTTAACTGTTATAAACTCTCGTACTTTTTGTAGCCCGGGTGGGCTAATCCCAGTAAAAAAAAATATATATAATATTTTTTTTTCCATTAAGAATGTTGATTACAGAGCCTCTTTACCTCACTAACTGCTACGTACATGTTCCTTTACCTCACTAACTGCTACGTACATCTCTTTACCTCACTAACTGCTACGTACATGTTCCTTTACCTCACTAACTGCTACGTACATCTCTTTACCTCACTAACTGCTACGTACATCTCTTCCACCTCACTACTTTGCTACGTACATGTTCGCCAGCCTCACCCGCTACTACGTACATCTCTTTACCTCACCTAACTGCTACGTACATGTTCCTTTGCACCTCACTAACTTTGGTATCCAGAACTTATTTATAACTTAGCGATATTCAGGAGTGTGTTTACGTAACCAGCAAGAGTATGTTTTGCCTCTCGACTAACAGTACG